TTCTAGCATCCATTTGAAGCTTTTTCCTTCTCTCCTAAATCCAAGTTTAAGGGTCCAAAACTCAAATTTAAGGCTTCTAATCTCTAAGGTACATTCCTTAGCTTGTATTGTAACCTCCTTAGCCTTTAAATTCAAGTTCAAAACATGATTTATGACCATATTCATGAGTTTACGTCCATGGAGCATTCATTGGCCGTAAACTCATATTAAGTGGGTTTTTAAGCCCTTAAACCCCTCCTTGACAAGTTTGGGACTTAGATATGGCTAAATGGCTTCAAGATATGGACTCTAAACAATTACAACATGAACTTTGTGAAGTTTGAAGGAGTTTACGGCCAAGGATCATTCTTGGGTCGTAAACTCATTTAACTAGGGTTTTCATGCCCTTAAACCCTTCCAAATCACTTATATGTCTTAGTTATGAATTATAGAACATTGATAATTGCATTTAGACACTTGAAACGTCATTTTTGGGGGACAAATAAGAGTTTACGGCCAAGGCATGTGCTTGGGCCGTAAACTCCTCTAAATGGAGGATTTTGTGCCTTAAGACATGTCCAAATGCCACAAAACTCAACCAATGACCTTGTGGTAAATCCTAGAATCATCTAAAAATGGTTTGGAGGCCTTAAACACATCAAACACACCACATATTGGAGTTTACGGCCTAAGCACATAGCCTTTGGCCGTAAACTCATATTCACATGTCAAAATTCCCTTAAACCACCCCTAAGGCCTTGGATTGAATTTTTGAAGTCCTTACAAACAAGTTTTTGGCATTAAAACACAAGGATTTACTCTCTATGAGAGTTTACGGCCATGAGAAGGGTCTCATTGGCCGTAAACTCCAAAAATCCCTTCAAAATTTCAAACAAATGCATATAAGACTTTGGTACAATTTTAACAATCACATGTGATTAGTTTGGAATCCAAAAACACAACTTTTCATGGATTTATAGGAGTTTACGGCCATGAGACCATGCTAGGCCGTAAACTCCCTAAAATGTAACATTTTGGTGTTTTAAACTTATTCCAAACCCTTAAATCAACTCTAGAAATTGTCCCCTAAGTGTTTGAAGTCCAAATTGCACCATAAACCACCCATCATGAGTTTACGGCCGTAAACTCATGGGGAATGGGTGTTTTGGCCGTAAACACCATTTAGAAGTGTACTCTTGAGGAGTAAACTCATTTCCTAAGTCCCTCGTATCATTACATGTCCTTAAACGCCACCCGGGTCCCTCCAAACACTTGTATCGGAGTGTTTTCGCGACTTGAAGCAATTGTCCCTATCCAACAATCAATCTAAATCCTAATTAGATACAAATGTGTATCTTTACATCATAATTAGGAACCTCGTGTGTTTACAAGTCCCGGATCAACTCTTAGCATCCAAACCGTCACATATCTCGTCCGGTGAGTTCATACCCCTACGCCCTTTTTCATTGTTTTCAATGTTTTCAGAGGGGGGGGGGGAATACAAGCAAACTATAATTGTTTTCAATTCATAACATTGATATGTTTCAAATTATATCTGACAATCTTATAAACTCTTTTACTCCTTATGTATTATGCTGAGCATAAGGAATGATTTATCAATTACAACTAAATGTATTTTAGTTAAGGAAATAAACCAACTAATCAAATTATTATGGGAATAATTTGGGGTTCTTTACTATTTCGTTCTATCATGTACTGATATCTATATAAAATTATTAGATAAACTATGTCCGATTCAGTTTACCTCCGTATCATTTGAATGTATTGTCAGATAATTTCATTGTATGTATCTATATTCACTGTATTACATTTCATAATCTTTTGTAAGTCGATATCGTATGAGAACCCTGTGAATAGTTTAGTACTAGTTTGTGAGATAGTCACTACCCTTTATGGATGATCAGTAAATCCTCCCCGGAAGTGTAACCAGAGTCTCCTGGAGGGAGAGCGCGGAATTTGTGAATAGATCTATTCGGGACTGACAATCCCACACCTTAACTGCTAGCTACAGTTAGGCGCGCACACCTGGGGTGACAAATTTCTGGATATCGTTTCAACGTCTGACAAACGTCAAGGAGGTCTCGTTGTCGTATTAGCATGGTTACCCGACTCACAACATGTATTAATATTAGTTTATTCACAGTTTGGGTTTTAGATTCTATATCTCTTTCGGGATAGTGATCCCATGGTATTATCAAACTATTTTGTATCTAGTTCGGGATAGTGATCCCATGGTTTTATACCTATAACTTGTACGGGATGTCTTTCCCCATGGTCTTTAACTATATCTTATACGGGATAGTGATCCCATGGTTTTGTATCTATATCATATACGGGATAATGATCCCATGGTTTTGTATCTATATCATATACGGGATGATAATCCCATGGTCTAAATCTATATTTTGTCTGGGATAGTGATCCCATGGTTTTCAATCTATATTTCCATATATATCAAAATATCTTGTGTCTAGTCCGGGATGGTAGTCCCATGATCTTAAATCTGTACTTTCATATGTGTCAAACTATCTTATATCTCTTTCGGGATAGTGATCCCAAGATTTTCATTATATAGTTTTGTGTATTAAACTATACTTTGTGATATACAACTGATCTTACAATTAGGAAAATATGGGATTTTCCTGGGGTAAAATACAACACGTAATCGAATTGGTAATGAATGATAACTAAACCAACTTCACATAAGAAAATATGGGATTTTCTTGGATAACAAAACTTTTCGGAAACTAAAGGAAACCGATACATTTTCATAAAACAAAACCGCTTATGAACTCACCAACTTTATGCTGATTTTCAAACCGCTTGTATTCTCAAGTCCAAGTTAGATAGGTACCTGGTGATCTCTTTTGATGAAGACGGAGTGCGTGGAAGACTCGTCTCAACTTTTGTTAATATGATGCATATGTATATCTTGTATAACTTTACTTTTGAAACAAATGTAAACTTTCATATATATGTAATGTAATGGTTGTTTACTGTGATTACTATGTACATTGGATTTGATACACAACGTGGTAGTCCACCCCGGAAATGTTTCCGCCTTTGATTTTCGGGGTGTGACACTAAGCTCTCCCCCTTCACCCTTATAGCTCCGCATAACGTCCAACCCTTGTTCCTTGTGAGATTGAAGTGCCTTGGTGTGTGTTTCTTGAAGATTTTGAGAGAAAAGGAGAGTAGATCAAGAAGAGAAGAAGGAGGCCAAACATCTTGGTGTTATTTCAGTGACTTTATTAAGGTATAACTCAGTTTCCCTTTGTTTTCATGCTCATTATCCCTTGTAGCTCCATGGAAGTTCTTCTTGAACCTTTTTCCCAAGCTTTTTTGTGTCTTAGGGTTCGTAATAAGTTGTTTAGCCTCTAGATCTAGGCATGATTGAGCTCCAGGAGCTTGGATCTATTGCCTTTATGGAGCCATAGTGCATGAAAGCCCTAGATATACTCTTTTGGTGCATTTTGAGCCCTAAAACCTTCATGGGTGTTTATTTACACGTAAAATTGGAAACTTTACGTGTAAACCAGGCCCTAGAAACCCATATTTATGAATGGCATGGGTTAGATTCAAGCAGAATCGCGTGTATAGTATTGCATGTGGCAGACTCGGCGAGTTGTTCACCTGACTCGGTGAGTCGAGTCGTGAGTCCTCGAGTTTTCCCCTTTGTGCGTTTACGTGTTTGAGTAGTGAGTCATAGGGTGTGACTCAGTGGGTTGGAAGCCAGACTCACTCATGTAGTAACTCGGCAAGTCAATGCCATGACTCGACGAGTTCAAGGCAATCTTCTTGCCTTACGAACGGACTCGGCGAGTTGTTCATACAACTCGGCGAGTCTCAGCATAGAGTGTTCTTTAGACGAAGGTGAACTTGACGAGTTGTTCATACAACTCAGCGAGTAGAATGAAGAACGTTGGGTCATAAACTTAGAAGGAAAACTCGTCAAGTAAATGCCAAACTCGATGAGTAGAGACGGGATAGTGGTCAGACAAAGGGATAGGGACTCGGCGAGTTGGCAAGCCAACTCGGCGAGTCGGGTCAACTGGAAGTTGACTTTGAATTTAACTCATGGTTTGGTTAAGGGTAAATGGTCAGTTTACCCTGAGGTCGGTTAGCAATATGTGACTAAGTGTTTGGTGGGAATTGCAGCCGGAGGATTTCCGGAGCAGCAGTAGCAGTCAAATAGTTCCCACGCAGAGCAGCAGCTACGAGGTGAGTTACTTCCCAGTAGCGGTAGGTCTACGGCCACAATGTCGACCCACCAATAGGAGTTATATGATAGATGTTTGTCTCCGTGATATTCATCTAGGGTTGGTACTACCTGTGTTATGGTTATGTGCTAGTATAATATGATGCTATGTGATATGTGTTATGTGGTAGTAGTAAGGGGGTGAAATAGTCCCCAGTATTCGGTCGCAAGGACCGAAGGGTAGGTCGGGCACCCAGATATGCCCGGCAGTATTCGGTCGCAAGGACCGAAGGGGTAGGTTGGGCACCCAGATATGCCTGACAGTATATGTATGTTATGTGTTTTTATGGTATGCGGTACAATGGGGGAACTCACTAAGCTTCATGCTTACAGTTTTCAGTTTTGGTTTCAGGTACCTCTTCTTCGAAGGGGAAAGAGCTGGCGCGGTAGCGGCCCATCACACACACGCCTTGTATTCCGCACTATGAGATTTCCCGGGGATTGTCCTCTGACGTTGTTATGCTTTTATAAACTGAATTCCAGACACGCACACTTTTATGAATGATATGATCGGTGTATGTTTTGCTACTAATATGTTTTCAAAAATGAAATTTTTTGGCTTGTATTTTTGGGACGTTACAATACCGGTCATATAAATTTTTGATTTTGTTTTCTTGAAATGAATTGAATAGGTGTCATAAAAGGTGGATAAAGCGACAATTAGGCCTCATTTAATCAGCCATTCCTCCATTCACTTAGTTGATAATCCCTCAAACTTCTTGATTCACAATTACAATCAACAATGGCAGAAGATGCAGATACGATCGTTGATGTATACTATCAAGGGTTGTTTACACCTACCCTATTGATTTATTTTGATGGAGTAAAAGCCTCGGTACCTCATACGGTTGTGAAGAAGATGAACTTCGATGATTGCATCCCCTTTCTTGAAAAGCTTACTAATGGAAGATGCAGAGATGTGTATTACTGTCCACATGAAGTGAGGTTGTCGGAGGGATTACATGCTATTCAGAATGACTGTGGTTTTAACGAGTTTCTTGAAGATATGAATGAAAAGAAGAGATTAGATGTGTATGTGGATCATCATCATGAACCTTTGTTTGATTGGATTCAGGAGGAAGAAGCAGACCTTGAAGATGAAGATTTGGTTTTTATTGTTGATGTCGACTCCATTTTAGAAGATGGTCTGAAAGCTCAACATGTAGAGGACGATGAAGATATATCTCTCAAAAGAAATTTCAATGATTCATTCCTCAACAAACTTTGTCTAATACAGAATGATGACTTGGTTGAAGAAGATCATAATGCAATACGACCTATCTACCCAAGACATAATCATACTCAATAATGGAATCAGATGAAGCCTCGATTAGGTATGAAATACTCTACTACTGCTGAACTTAAATACTCTCTTAGTTGTTATGCTGTAGCAAATGGTTATGATACGTGGTATGAAAAGAATGACAATACTAGGTTGCTAGTTAGGTTTTGTAAAGGAAAGAATCTCATATGCCCTTTTAGATTGTATGCTTCCTGGATGAAAAAGGAACACACTTTTCAGATTAAGTCTCTTATAACAGAGCACAAGTGTTCTAGGGCATTCAAACTTGGTTCAATTGTAACATATAAGTGGATAGAAAAACAATTTGTGAATGATGTTTTGGAGAGTCCTAAACTAAGTTTGAGGAAAATGAAAGCCCTAGTATCTAAGAGATACAACATTAATGTGAGTGTTGGGCAGTGTAGGAATGCAAAAAAGTTAGCACTGTCTGAAGTTGAGGGAAGTTTGAAAGAACATTATGCCAAATTATGGGATTATGCAACTGAAATCAGAAGGGCTAATCCAGGTTCACATGTTGAGGTGTTCTTGGTGCCACAACCTGATAATACTATGGTGTTTGATAGGTTTTATGTTAGCTTTAAAGGTGTTGTAGATGGGTGGTTAGATGGATGCAGAAAGGTAATCGGGGTTATGGTTGCTTTCTTAAGGGTGTTTGTAGAGGGGAGCTCCTATCAGCAGTGGGTAGAGATGCTAATAATAACATCCATCCCTTAGCTTGGGCAATAGTCAATGTTAAGAACAAAAGGACATGGAAATGATTTTTGGACAACCTGATGGAAGACATTGGAGGGGGGAATGGTCATGGCATTACAATCCTCTCAGATTGCCACAAGGTAATCATTCTATTTTTTCAATTAACTTTAACTATTTTGATTATTTAATTAACTAATCATTTTATTGTTTGAATCAGGGGTTATTTGAAGTTGTGAAGGAAAGACTTCCTGATGTGGAGCATAGATTATGTGCTAGACACATTCTAGTTAATTTCCACAAAAAATTTAAAGGAGAACAATACTTTAAACCATTTTGGAGGGCTGTGAATGCAACAACTGTACCAAAGTTTGAAGCAACAATGAATGAGATTAAGTCCTTGGAAAATAGGGCTTATAACTATCTCACAGAAAGGTATCCAAGGTGTTGGTCAAAGGCTTTTTTTAGAGAGGGTATGGATTGTGATGCAGTAGAGAATGGAGTTTCTGAAAGTTTCAATTATGTTGTACTTGATGCTAGAAGGAAACCATTGATAACAATGTTGGAGGACATAAGATGTTGGGCAATGCAGAGGCTATGGATGTAGAAGTAAAATGGTTTGAGTTGGGATTTGTACATATGCCCAAGTATCAGAAGGGAAATAGAGGATTTGAAAGAATTGCAAAGGTTAGTAACTATTTCATTATTTATACATAGGTTTTATAATGGTAACTGACTATCTTCTTGTATATTGATAGATTTTGGGTACCTTATGTGAGTGGCTACAAAGAATTTGAAGTGTTCTTATGAAATGAGAGGTATGTTGTTGATCTGAATCAGAGGGCATGTGGATGCAGAAGCTAGAAACTCACAGGCATTCCATGTGTACATGTCATATCAGCAATTTCATCATTGAACCTAGATGTGGAGGCTTTTGTATCCAACTCCTATACTAAAGCTTCTTTGCTTAGTAGTTATGAGTATAACATTCATCCACTCAATGACAGTTCTGAGTGGCCACATGTTGAAGGACTTCATACTATTTTGCCTCCATTATAGAGGAGGTTACCTGGCAGGCCATGTGTCAAAAGGAAAAGAGATCAGGCAAAAAGAGAGCTAAGTGGGCACACAAGGCATACTGTGTCAAGGGCAGGCATTCCTTTAAGATGTACCATTTGCCACCAAACTGGACACAACAAATCCACATGCCCAAGTAAACCAACTCCAGCTCCAACCACAGCATGTCCAAGTCATTCAACTTTAAATTCAAGCACGACAGGGCCAAGTCATGTGGAGAAGGGTCGTGTGAAGAAGGTTCCTGTGAAGAGAAGTCCTATGAAGAAGGTTCCTTTTAATGATGTTGGTAGGGTGAGAAAGTTTTCAGAAAGAATCATGGAAATTGGTCTTCAAAAAAATGTTAAAGTCAACGATGGAACTGGATGCAGCAAAGACAAACCTGTGACCTTAGAGTAATTAGGTTTTGATGTAGTAGGGTAATGCATGTGATATATATATATATATATATATATATATATATATATATATATATATATATATTGATGTACTGTGGGGTAATCTTTTGAACTTAATTACTATATTACCCCTACTAGTTGTTTACTTTTGATGTACTTGTCGAATCTTTTGAACTAAATTACTGTATTACCCCTGCTGGTGAGCTTATCTTTTGTAATTATTAAATGGCTTGATGCCTTTTGTCATCCACTTTTATTTGTCTTTACATCCAATTCTCTATAAAAGAATCTTTCCTATAATTTGTCTTGGTTTTACCTCCATTTGACTGAGTTAATTACATCAACATCTATATATAGTAACAATAAACTTTACCATTACATAAACATAAAGTATATCAACATCCATTACGTAAACAAGAATTACACAACAAGTCTATTACATCAAAATCCCCTAAAACCACAAGAAGCATATCTTCAACCCCAAAACATAACCTTAACAATGACCAGCAGAATCAATATCTGAATCATAACCTTCAACTGTTTCACTTCTTCTCTAACAGATGCCACATCCTCTAAAACTTGTTTAAGATAATCTGCAAAATATGAAAGAGTATCTTCTGCAATGGGCTTCATATTCTCTGGTTCTTCATCAATCCATTCCAAAAATTTACACTTTTCCCTGGTTTCTGCAGTAATAAAATCAACAACATATAAGAAAAGAAGAAGAAAATTGATTCGATTTGATAAATAAAATCAATTTAGGTATTTACCAATGAGTTAAGGCACACTCGAAATTTCTTTCCAGGGTTATCTTTGGTCTTGGAGGTATGAGTTCTTGAAGGGAGTTCACAATCACAAAGGACTTCCTTATCTACTCTCTGATTGCTTGAACCTGTGGAGCTTCTTGAGCCACTTGACATCTTCTTTCTTCTTCTACGAATTCCCCACTTCTATGTGTTCGAGTTTGAAGGTGATTCTTCCTGATTTTGGATGTTAACATTCGTTTATAAGGAGTGACTAAGCTAATTAATTTTTATGCAGTTGTTGTTAGTGCCACGTGTGCTTCCACATCAACAGAACCGATAGAAGCCGATCAAAAGGATCAATTGTGTACACATTAATAAAGTATAAAGGCTTAATTTACAAAAATAATAATAATAATAATGACGAAATGTGTACATTTAAAAAAGTAACTTACCTCTCAAGTCATTTTACCTAATATTTATTATTAATTATTATTATTAATGACGGTGAGTGGAAAAACAGTCGTCCAGATCTTCCAATCAGAGCCTCCATAAACTCAAATATGGCGTTTGTTTGCAGTTGATGACTCTTCTTCTCCGGCTTCTTCTCCCCCACGTTCACAGTCGGTTGTATCAATCGGTTTTCAGCCTCCTCGTTTCCTTCTTTTTCGACCACTCTTGTTGCTTTACATTACGATCACCTGTTCCATATGTCAGTTCTTTTCTACGTACTTACTTTTCCTCTCTCTATGTGGGTTGATTATTAACTATTTTATTTGATTTATTGCAGATGAAGAAGATGCGAAATTAATGGTTTCGAATGCAGGGTTCAAGTGATCATCTGCTCTGGGTTTCTCTTTCCAACAAGAAACTCACCAAGAGATATTCCTAAAAGCATCAGGTCCCTTGATTCACTCCTACTGGGTTACCACCATACGACGTTATCTCTTCATAGAGGTAACACACATAACTCTCTCTCTCTCTCTTTCTCTCTCTCTCTCTCTCTCTCTCTCTCTCTCTCTCTCTTTCTCTCTATCTCTATCTCTCTCTCTCTCTCTATCTATCTATCTATCTATCTATCTATCTATCTATCTATCTATCTATCTATCTATCTATCTATCTGTCTATCTATCTATCTATCTATCTATCTATCTATCTATCTATCTATCTGTCTATCTATCTGTCTATCTATCTATCTATCTATCTATCTATCTATCTATCTATCTATCTATCTATCTATCTATCTATCTATCTATCTACCTATCTATCTATCTATCTATCTATCTATTTATCTATCTATCTATCTATCTATCTATCTATCTATCTATCTATCTATCTATCTATCTATCCATCCATCTCTGTTAAAGCTACAGGAATTGGGTTTTAAGACACAAATCATTTGAATAGTTTTAACAAAACTTCAATTAACTCAATCAAGGTTTACTTTCCCTGTTTATTTATCATTAATTATGTGTATTATTTATGAAATTATTGGTTTTATGGTTTATCATTTGTGTAATTGTTGATTTATTCGGTTTATTTTAGGTTTAGGGATGATCTTATGCTTTATCATTTATGAAATTGTCGATGATTATGGTTTTTGGTTTTACAGGCTCACAAGCTCGATTTTGGTTTTCGCTCGCCATCATCGCCCACCAACCCTAAGCTTTTAGAGGTTCGATGTTTCTTTATTTTCACTCACTCTTTCGTTCCTTTGGTTTTGAGATATTGTTGAGGCTTTTTGTTTGTATAAATGAAGCTCTCAGACAAACGCTTGCAGTGTCATCATCAAATTTTCCTAATTGTGACTTGGGGCTTGCTTCTTCCTACAACGTGAGTCCTCCATCAGATTTATTTAATTTTCCTAATTGTGACTTGGGGGTATAAAAGTAATTTCAGTTTTAAGGGCTTCACAAGTTACAAAAAGTCATGTTCCTGTGACTTTTCAAAATGTTCATTTTACTTCTTTTTGACAAGTTGCTTTTAAAATATCTTTTCCCTTTCCAAACATCGTTTGGTTCCTTTTTAACTTTTAGGAAAATATAAAGGCTAAAAGTTGGTTTAAAAGATAAAACAAACACCCCCATAGGTTGTAAAATGT